AGCTCCTAAAAACTCTTAATTCATTAATCATCAAATAAATAAAAAGCCAGGTGCATTGCATGCCTGTAATCTCAGTGACTTGGGAGGCTGAGGCAGGAGGATCTCAAGTTCAAGGCCAGTCTCAGAAATTTAGCAAAGCCCTAAGCAACTTAATGAGAAAATGAAAAATGGGAGGGGATGTAGCTCCATGGTAAAACACCCCTGGGCTCAATCCCCAGTACCTAAATAAATAAATACACAAATAAAATAAATTGAAATTACTATGAGGTAACATCTCTTACCAAACTGTGAATTAAAAGTTGTGTGTGTGTGTGTGTGTGTGTGTGTGTTTGTCTGTATGAAATGTGTATTATGTATGGGGATACACTTTGAAACTGCAAAGAACTATTCAAAGGCAATTTACCTCTCTTGTGTATATTCTGATTACTACTCAAGCTCAGAATTCCTTTAAAATGTTTATATTGTGTCCAAAACATGGGTAATTCAAGTTGCAGATTTCTCACTTTATATTTTTGCCCAAAGAAATAAAAACTCCTCGCAGTTTTATTCAAATGTACAAATTAAGAAAAAAGTTAGATTCAAAAAATGATAAACTTTCCTATTCCCACACCTATGGGAGAACAATAGAAGCAACTCTATTTTGTCCCTTCGGTTGGTAGATTAAGTAACAGCAACCACACTAATTTATGAAGGAGCCTAGTGTGTTCCCAAAGTGCTGTGTGGCATTTGTGAGTGCAGCAGTGGTCTCCTAGAGAAACCATTGCTGTCCTGGGCACCATCCTGTAGCCTCTACATATTAAGTTCACTCTAAATATTCTTTCACTACAGCAGAAAATGGAGAACTCTTTTCCCTATCAAATTCAAGAGATTTGCACATTGTAGAAAAGTGAAAACCATGTTTCAACATGATATAGGTGTGACATAGACACATAAAACCTCCAAACATCACTGTCCACAGGATTTTGGAGGAATTCGAGGCACCAGAATTGGGTCTCATCTTGAAATGCTCAATCAGGTCAATGAGAGTGTTCCTACCATTACATTCTCTTCTAAAATGGTTTAGGGTCTTGGCTAATAAGTGCTGATAAGCTTAGGTATATGACACATTGGGCAAATATGTGGTATGCATGACCTGTCCTCTTCACTTACCTGAAAGATGCTATTGTTTGTCCTTCAAGACACTCTTTCCTATGGAATTTGAATATGGCCATGGCATATTCTCAATACAACCCTCCAAGCAGTCATTACTTATCAATGAGACTTATTTGCCATTTCTAAAATAGACTATTTTAAGTTAAAATGTGTGTGTGTGTGTGTGTGTGTGTTTGACCCAAATCCTTTTTTTTGGGGGGGGGCATACTGGCACTTGAAATCAGGGCACTCACCACTGAGCCACACCCCTGGACCTATTTTGTATTTTATTTAGAGACAGGGTCTCACTGAGTTGCTTAGGGCCTTGCTTTTGCTGAGGCTGGCTTTGAACTCTTGATCCTCCTTCCTCAGCTTCCCGAGCCACTGAAATTATAGGCATAGAACCAAAGAATCTTTGAAATCCATTTATCTTTATACAAAGCTTACCTTTCAGAATACAGAAATTACAAGTAGAAATACCATATATATATATCATGATTTACAGTAATAACTGGACATTCCTCATCTAGTTTGTTTTAAATACCTGAAGTAGTTACCATCTTTAGTTTGTACAAATATAAATGCAAGACAGAGCTTTAGCATTGTAAGTCATTTCCTGGAAATAATTTGTATATTCTATTATATTAATAATATATATTGGCCATTTAATGTTCCCCAAACCCTATGCAGAGGTACTATTAAAATTTCCAGTTTAGCTGAACATCAGGAAACATACTGTAACCTTAGCTACTCAGGAGACTGAGACAGGAGAATTGCAAGTTCAAGGCCAGCCTGGGCAACCTGGCAATACCTTGTGTGAAAATAAAATATTAAAAGGGCTGGGATATAGGTCAGTGATAGAACATCCCTGGGTTCAATACCCAGTGCCCCCCTTCAAAAAAATCCAGGTTAGGGCTGGGATTGTAGCTCATTGGTAGAGCACCTGCCTCACACATGTGAGGCACTGGGTTTGATCCTCAGCACCACATAAAAATAAAAATAAAAAAAAGATATTATGTCCAACTACAACTAAAAAATATTTTTAAAAATCCAGGTTATAGTTGACGAACCTGATATGCAGCAATATTAAATTAATTTAATATTGAATTACTTAGAAAGAATTTTGGCTTGGTTAAAATTTGTTACTTGTGTCACTTTTCCTGCATGCCTCCACACCTCTTTCCCCACAATACAAGGTTTGGTTAAAGTTAAGAAGCTAGTACTAAATAAGTGTTCCTCATTAGATTCCTTCTTTTGACATGATGGGGAAAAAATGCTCAAGACAAAACCCTGTTCTTTGGTTTCAACTCCTCTTGCTAAGAATTCTTTAAAAGTGCCAACCTTATTTTCTTTGTCTCAAAAGCATATTAGAGCAATTCATAATTGAGAGCAACTATATAAACCCTGGAACTCCATCACCAACTCTGTGCTATGTCCTTAACTTTTCAATGTTGTCAAATTTTGTCAGTTTAGAGGGGTGCAAATGTAAAATAATACTAATAAAATTGATCACTTCAAATCATAGCAAAAACCTGAAACTTTCTTTACTGAACAGATAACTTGTATACATCCAAAGGTGGAACTTAATAAGAAAAGATAGTTGTGAAAATTGATCATACTGAAACACTGTGAACATTTTTTCTTCTTCTTCTTCCTCCTCCTCCTCCCACTCCCCCACCCCTGCCCTCTTCTTCCTCCTCCTTGTCTGTGCTAGGGATCAAACCCAGGGATTCATAATATGCTAAGCAAGGGCTATACTACTGAGCTATACCCCTAGCCCACCATAACTCTTTTCAGCAGAGCAAAATAGAATAATTTATCAAAATGCAATTATCAGTTTCCTCTGATAAATAAAATCTAAATATACTAACTGGTAATTTCTTCCACATGTACTCAAATTAGAGTATTGATCAGTATCTCATGAAATATAGAAAATAATTAGAGTCATATCCACAAAGTCCATATGCTTTCACTCTTAAGGGAGCTAAGAGGCTTGCAAAAGTATTCCAGTTTTTAATGATAACTTCCCTTAGTGCTTCTTAGAGAAACAAAATAATACATTCCATATTATTCTGTATATGACTCCCTCACCATAACAATTCTTAAATATTCAGCACCCACTAATAGCCACTTGATATTATATTAGAGTTTTCTGTATTCTTATCAACATGATGTTAATAATGAAACTGTGAGAAATTTCCATTTGGTTTTTCTGATGCTTTAAGGCATTCTAAACAATAGATTTGAAGAAATCTCACAAGTGTTCCCTGATTACATAACTGAATTAAGCTTCATGGAAAGACAGCAGTGAAATAAGCTTTTCATCTAGACGATTTCTTAAGTAGTACTCATGTGCTGCTGGTTCTGTAGAAAAGGTGGGTATGGGTGGTACAGCATATTAGGAGGCACATGAACAATTTCTTATTATAGAAAGATTTCAAGAAATATGATGATTCATGGTAACCAAGAATTTTGTTGTTGGAGGGGATACTTTTTATAGTTTTATGGAGGTATAATAGAAATGAAATAAATTGCATATATTTACAGTGACAATTGGGTAAGTTTTGACATTTGTGTATACCCGTGAAGCTGCCATCACAAAGAAAATAATGAATATATTCTTAGTAGGCGGTACTTTTTGAATATACCAATAATGTAAAATTTGGTGACCATTAAATCCCCACAGGCATTTGGCATTAGGAGGCCATATTTATCATGCATTTAGTAAATACTTTTTCTCTAATTTATTATCATCTTTTGAATAGTAGTATCATAGTAAAACAAAAGATTAGTCTGAATCTGGGATTTTTAGTTTTAGTATATTTGAAGAGCACCTGAATGGTATTCAAGTCAGCCTTTAAATCTACAAATAGGCAAACATGAAATCATCAAGATGTGTGTAGTGGCTCAGAGTTCCACAAAGCCTTCTAGTATGCTGTACCACCCATACCCACCTTTTCTACAGAAACAGCAGCACATGAGTCTAATCCTCTACCTTGTGTGGGACTTAGCAACCTTAGTTTTTTGATCACATCGTTTTATAAACAATTTAGGCACCAATTAAAGAAAAAATGAAAGAAGCAGCAGCAAGCTTCTTGGAATGTCCAATTTCTCACATAAAATTACTGTACAGACAGCTTGCAATTTGTAAGGCTTTTTGGCCGAGTGTTTCTGAAAGGAGATAAAGCTGTTTTTGTCCTGCCTATTGATACCATATTTTGCCCTCAGGGCTGGTGGTGATGAGATCTGGAAAGCTGCCTTATTTTTTAAGTTTCTCCTATAGCTCATTCCAATATTCCTGTACTCTGCTATTTTCCACCTGGTTCGGGAAACAGTTTAAAGCTGCAGGATTGAACCTCAGGCTTGCAGGTTCTCTTGTCACCATTTGCCACCAACACCCACCTCCACCACCTTCTTGCTCAGACCTATGTCCCCATTCACAACGGATGCTGGTAACCCTCAGAACTGTGGCCCTGAGGTCTCCAGTTTCCCTTCTTTGCCTTAGGTCCCAGAACATCAGTGGGAGCTTAACTTCTTGAGTTGGGAGGGCAGCTTGTCTAATTAGTCAGTAGCAGCTGGGGGCTGTTTCTACCTGCTGATCCTCCCTTTGTATTCCTCCCCGGATGAAGGGGAGATTCAAGTGGATTTGGCACATCCTTTAATCAGGGCCTGCCATTAGCAGGCCGGGGCTGACGTGCTCTGAAGCAGGCCATTTTCACCTGCGTAATAGCAGGCTTGGGAGTAGCAGAGCAGCAGCAGCAGCAGCATCAGTGACTGGAGTAGGGGAGGAGCGCAGGCAGCGGCCGCCGCGGGGCCGGGAGGAAGAGGAGGGGGGGAGGAGGAGGAGCTGAAGCGCGAAGAGCAGCAGGCAGCGCCTGGGCCCGAGTTGCAGCAGCGGCGGCGGCGGCGGCGCGGAGACTCCGCAGCCTCCCGGAGCCCAGAGTCCCGGCGGGGATAGCAGCAAGGAGCGATCGCCCGCCCAGCTACCACACCTCGGCCCCGCCAAGCCGCCGTCGCCACGCGGGGGGACCGCCAGCTATGGCCGCGCCGCCGGATTCGCAAGACGAGCTGCTGCCTCTGGCCAGCCCCGGGTCCCAGTGGTTCGGGGACCGGGGGGAGGGGGAGAATGAAACAGTGACGCCGAAAGGGGCCAGGCCGGCGCCGCAGACCGAGGAGCCCGGCCGGGGGTTGGGCTCCGGGACCGAAGGAGCGGTGCCGCGGGAACTGGGCTCCGGCCCCGCCCGGCCGCCGCCCGTTGCCATGGAAACTGCATCCACAGGTAAGGCGGGAGGGCGCCGCTACCCCGCAAATGGCGTCAGGTACCCCGGTCCCAGTCGGTTCCCTTCTTAACAGCTCCCCTCTGCACCTTCCTGGCGCGCTCTGCCTAAAGGCACCAATCCCAGCCCCGTTTCGCCAAGGGCGACTGCAAATGTGAATGGACTGGTTGAAAACAGCAATTTTAATTTTTTCCGAAGGCTCAGAGAAAGAACGGATGCTACTGATCCCTTTATTTCATTATCTTTATTTCCGTTAAAACATTGTCCTCACTGGCAAACTGCAGCATCCTGACTTACTGGTGCGTCCCGGTACAAGTTTCTCCCTCTTGTCAGGGGCTCAGGGCTGTAGGGCCGTTATGACAGGTTGTGGTGGTTTTCTGGGGCGTGTTTGTGCGCACTGTGCGCGCGGGCCACAGGAGATGCTGACAACAAAGCAGCGAGCTCACCCGCTGCCCCAGGACGCGGCTCGGTGCAGGGCAGCTTTGTGGCTTTAACTCTCCCCTACTCTTCTCTCCAGGAGTCGCCACACCCGGCTCCTCCCAGTCCTCCCGCCCACACTCCCTTCCCCCATTCCACCCGCCCCCTCCACACCCTCCCCCCTACCACTCGCGGGCAGAAAACAAATCATAAGGAGTGTTTACCACATTCTGGAGGAACAGCATTGTAAGTGGGTTGGGAGTTGTGTCTGCTCTCACTCAGAACCTAGGTGCTTTAATGTCCCCATCTTGCAGGGAGCATTGAAACTTGGAAGCCCGAAATGCAGCGGGCCTGGCTGAGTTGGAGGGTTTGGATGGGGGTGAGTGGACCAGCGACGATTTACCAGCAGTCTGAATCTGCTCCAGCATTTGAAAATTGCCCCGGATTCGATCTCCCTTGGCCTGACTTCCTCCTCGCAACCCAAGCAGACCAGTGTCTGTCAGGACCCCAGGGCTTTGGTGAATTCTAGTCAAAAGAGGCGAGAGGCACGCACTATGAGCCTGGGCTGCCGGCCTGGTTAGCTCTGTTTCCAGTGAGAGAAGGAGGGGGGTGTTATGTTGTTCTCTTCTCAGAGAAAGCTTTGTTATGGTGGAGTGGGAGTTGTGTAGTTTTGGCAATGTAGCTCTAGAAGGTCTGGAGTGGTGGGTGCTCCTGAAGGAGGAGAAAGGGGGCGGGACTGGCGTGTGTGCTCTTGGCAGCTGTTTTTGGGAAACCCCCTTCTTAAACCACTCCCTCTCAAGGGTTATATGAAGTGCCTTAGGTTGTCTTAACTGCTCTAGTATAAAAGATCTGAGCTGGGGAAAGGAGGTTTGGAGAGTGGGTTTAATAAAATTTGCCAATGTTCTCAGCAGAAAAGAAAAAGTGGGGACCATATACCAGCAAAAGGAGGAGGAGGAGTGAAAAGTAAAAAGGAAAAGAAAAAGACTCAAATGCTGAAAATCCCTATCCAGACTCTCTTCAATTTCTATTGAAATGAAGAGAAAGCAAAACTTCTTAAAGAAGATGGCAAATGATAATAGACAAAGGAAGGCAGTTTTTGTCATTACTTTTCTTTGCTGAGGGCAGCTTAGAGTTCAGAATCTTTATCCACTGCAAGATAAATTATTTCTTTATCAACATTGCCTGCCTCTCATTAGTTGAGCAAGGTTAGGTTACTAAGGTAGGGAAGCTAAGTGTCCTGTGTTTAGTAACTTACTATTCACTAAAATGTGTTATTACATAGAAAATGCTTAGTATATTATAAGTGCAACAAATGGACTAATAATATCAAATATGATTCTAAGTTTGGGTGGAGAAGGAGAATGAAGCATATATATATATATATATATATATATATGCCTATTTATATAGAAATGTTTTAGTTTATTATTGTTGTTTAGACTGGATAGCCTTCTATAAGAGAACTGTATGCTAGAAATAATAGCCACATAAATAACCACACCTTGAAAAATCCAAACAAGATCTAGGCCAGCTTCTGTGTCTGTTACTTTGACAGTTCTGTTGATATAAGCAAAGTCAGAAGGTGAATCATCAACTGTATCAGAGATAAAATCCAAAAGTAGCCTATTATGCACACTAATTTACTGTGCATTTTAAAAACTTATTTTTGGCTTATAAGCATAAATTACTTAACTCACTGTGCTGGAGGCTGGGAAATCTAAGATCAAGGTGCCAACAGATTCAACATCTGGCTCATAAAAAGTTGTCTTTTAGCTTTATGCTCACATGGCCGTAGCTGCTTTATTATTATTTTTAAGAATGGTGCCTTTTGGGACCCTGAGTTAAATAAGAAGTAACTTAGATTTTTGAGTGTAATATACTGTAAATATATTTTGTTTCTTTTTCAGATGGAATATTAAAATGTAAGATAGAATATTGGCGTTTGAAATTTTTTTTCTGAAAAACATCACCAGTCTTGCTGCCTGGACAGAAAGTCTGTTATTTATCTTTATACATTGATGTTAATTAAAGTTTACAAAGAAATATTTCCCCAAACATTTCTCAGTAATACCCTGAAATGTGTGTGTGTGTGTGTGTGTGTGTGTGTGTATATATATATATATATATATATATATATATATATATATATATATTTGAACATCATTAAAGCTACATTATAAAACCCAATCAGTACTGTGTTTTCAGGTATTCTCATCAATTCTGTCCCTTTGTGGCATGGAAATTTTCTCAACAAAAAGTGACACTGTCTTCTTAAGTTACACTTTGTTATGTATGAAGTTGATAGTGAACTTGTGAAATGATGTCTATAGTCAAGGGAATATTTAATATACCATGTGTAGGCTACAACATGTTCAACTTGTTAATCACAAAACACTGCCATCATCTAATAATTCTCCAAAAGACATTAAAAACCACTGTTTTGTTTTCTCATAAAGTTATTTTATTCCTGGAAACTATTCAAAAGGAGCATACAATAATAAAAAGGATAGAAGAATGGCTCTTTGTTTAAAGAAAGAATTTAAAATAGAACATTTGAACAAAATGAAAATGGTAAGAAGTTAACTCATTGCCTGCTTTGGAAATTGGCTAATTGATTGCTTCATGCATGCATGCTTCATGCATGGAAGGCAAAATAAAGAACAGGTTGGTGAATTGTCAGGAGAAATTAGTCTAATGTAGTTTGCTCCAGTAATATTGGCTATGGATAATCTGACTTAAATATCTAGATAATTGCAAAACAAATTTGCATTACTTCAACCTCAGAGTTTGTAAATTTGTAATTTTCAAATGCTAAATGTGATGTGCACTTGGAAAAGCTGTTCTTAGTCTATCTATCATTCTTTCAATAGCATTGAGAATGTTTTATGTATCCCCAGTTTAATATAATAAATCTATAGAACTATGATGCATTACTGATCATCATCTTCATTTGGAGACTGAATTGACTGTCTTTTTTTTTTTTTTTTGGATGTGTTTGATAGATGTATAAACATTTTTATTTGGAATATTTTCCAGTATAATCCCCTTTATAAGGTGTAAATTCCAATCTTTGTTTTCTATTATCTTGAAATGGGAAGAAACACTATACTTTTCTTTGGCAATTTATTAAAGAATATAAGAGAAAAAAGCTTGGAAACCTAATGTAATGTATTTATCTGGACATAGTCTCTGTATACAATCAGTAACATTTATGGCAATAAATATAGTATATTCCCCTTAATATAGGGAATTCAGGTTAGGTTAAACTAAAAGTTAGAAACATTATATATCTTAAAATACATTGAAAAATAGATCTTATCAAGGCTTTCAGCTTAATTTTCTCTTCATGAACAAACCATTCCAGGAACCCACCCTGATCATTGCTCCTCAGATACACTGAAGGCTTTCCTGCCCCCATCACTTTTCATCTCTTTTCCCCCATGAACTTCTAATTCGGAGAGATTTTTGGCAGAGTTGTTGATTATCTTGCCCATTATACTGTCTATCCTGGGTAGCATGGATTACAGAGAGTTTTTGTTATCTGTAAAGTGAGAAACCATTGCAGTTCAATTCAACTTAGTAAACATTTATTGAATGCCTCCTTTGTAAAAGGATCTTTTCTAAATATAGGTTACAGATTCCTAGAACATGTGTACCTTTCTATTTCACATTAGTCTATAGTTTAGTCAAACCGTTTCTTTTGTGTCATTTTTCAGCTTCCTCATTCCCAAGTCATTACTGAAAATTTTACTATAAGGTCATTATATTATAAAACCCCAAGAGCAGAAGAGCATGAGTTAGTTTTCTGAGGTGGACACAGATAAATAAACATGAACATTGCTTGCTCAGACTGAACTGTGGAAAATAAAACTATTTCTCTTTCTTTCCCTCTATTATCTCTCATTCTGTGCTTCGTTAGAGAATATTATTCCAAGATCTTTGCCTTTATTAGTGTTGATATGATTTTACAATTTAAAATCATGTCAATAGTAACTAATAGAACTTTGTAAAAGGTACTGGGAAATGTGGAGAGCAATGAAAGAAAAGATATAGTTCAAGAGATTAATGTATCTATTTTTTTCTTTTTTATGGTGCTGAGGATTGAACCTAGGGCCTTGTGCATGTGAGGCAAGCACTCTATCAACTGAGCTATGTCCCCAGCCCTAAGAGATTAATGTATCTACATACAAATGCTCTCTACTAAAGCCAACATAAAGGACATGGTCAAAAAAATAAAATAAAAGATAACCAGTTTTTAAGGGCAAAGAGAAGAGAAAGACATGAAGGAGAAGTCACTGTCTGTGACAGCAGTGATCATGTAGGAGAAAAGAGAGGGAAGAACATCTTAATTCATGTTTCACCTATATAATTTAAAATTGGCAGTGACTTCAAAGCTATAAGCTAAAACATATAGAAGGAGAGGCTGGGAGCCCAGAAGTAATTGAAGGTAAAATTCTGTATTTCTTCTGTGATGAGATGCATTTGCTGGGCAGCTTTAAAGTCAGGTTGAGAATCTTTGTAGAAAAAGACTGATGCCAGAAAAGTTAAAATGGGTAAATGTTTTTTAAAAAGATGGAAATGGGTT